ACACATCTGTTGATGGTGATTTGATGTAGGCGCGACACATCTTTTGATGGTGTTGTTTTTATTGGCTAGACACATCTTTTGATGGTGTTGTTGATGTAGGCGCGACACATCTTTTGATGGTGTTGTTTTTATTGGCTAGACACATATTTTGATAGGTGTTGTTGATAAAGTTTCGACACATCTTTTGATGGTGTTGTTGATGTAAGCGCGACACATCTTTTGATGGTGTTGATATAGGCTCGACACATCTTTTGATGGTGTTGAGATAGGTTCGACAGAATTTTTTATGTTGTTGATATAGGTTCGAATAGTCTTTTAATGTTGTTGTTATAGGTTTGACACATCTTTTGATGATGTTGTTGTAGGTTAGCTAATCTTGTTGATGGTACTATAGTTGTATTTCCCCAAAATGTTATTCAATGTTTACAAAAATAAAAAATAAAAACACAATTCTCTATTTCTCAAAGCGTTTTTTTCCTCTTTCTGTCTAACGGTAGATAATCCATTGCTGAATTAATTAGTTACTCATTAGTACAACCGAAAGAAAATGAGTCAAACATCAGAGAGGGCATAAATAATGCTGTGTGTAGGCGAGGCCACACAGAACAGGCCCAGCATCAAAGGCAGGGGGCGCAGCAAGGATTTCAGTTTACTGGCTGTATATTCGTAGCTTTCCTTTACTTAAGCAGGGCCAGGCGTCCGTAAAACATGTCACGCAAGTTGATGCCGGTTTTTTTTTAATTTTACAGTAGAGAGGTAAGGGGGGGGGGGGGTGGTGGACACTCTCTATCAATATAATCTAAGATATAGAGTAAAAACGTTTTTCGTTTCGCTATTTTAAATACCAGTTATTGTTTTCGATCACGTGATGTGTGAACAATTTGTCTGTCTGTATCGTTATCCCGAACACATAACTTAACAACCATGCTTTGTCTGTCTGTATGTCTGTCTGTATGTGGCAAAGATTATAAATCGATATTGATTCACTTCCGCTTTTGATGGATGCAGTGGTTTCTTTATACCCTCAACTTCGAAGAAAACACAATAATCTCTCATTTTTAATCTAATTCGATAATAAAAAGTATTCATTAAAATTCAATTTTTAAGATTACTTTATGCACTAAGATTATAAACTTGCTGTATTAAGTAAAGCCCCCCCCCCCCCTTGCTGAATGAATCAGTCACATATTTATTTTGGCGACCAATGATTTTTAAAAAGAACGCAAATTTTATTTATTTTCTTTTTTTTTCTGCATTTAGAAGCTTATTATTATAAAGGTTTTTTTTATGTTTGTTTGTTTTTATTATTCTTTGGACAAACGGGTGGTTTTTATTTTAATAGTCGCCAAGCAAACCAACCCTCTGCCACCCAGATTTCTCTCCCTTTAAAAAAAAAATGTGTATCGCTGCATTAGCCGCTCTCCAGAGTAATGGCCCCTGAATTTTTTCAAATGGAGAGACGTGTTCAAATAGGCTCTCGTCCCTCGGACACCATTCATCCTTTCTATTTAGGCAAGTCATTTCGACACAGGAGGCGTTCATTCATCTCAGTGCAACACTATTTTAAAGAACATTTGTCTCGTTTCGAATTTTAAAGTTCTACTTTTTTATTTTTAACCTTTTAAAATTTTTCGACTACTTGTAAACTAACGAAGTTCGACTTTCATTTTCTTGAGGGTATGGATGGAGAAGCTATTTTTTCAAGGAATATCTGGTCGTTGAAGTGAATGCCATTTGCAAGAGAAGAAGTGGGGGAGATAAAAACAGATTTTAAAATATAAAAGTACATTTTATAAGAACGTCTAGTTTTGTTTTGTTTTTAATTTAATCAACTAACGTTGTTTTGTTTTGAATAATTTTAATTTAAGCTAAAAGCAGATACCGTTTTAAAGTTAATAACAAAAAAAAATTAAAGAACCATTAACATCTATTCGAAAATTTTAATCTTTCGTTTTGTAAATATTGACACAATTTGAGCCGATTTTTTAAAAATCCACATTTCTTATTTAGTTCCTAATGGAGAGAGATTTCGTTGCAATTAAAGCAATCGCATTTTAAATAAAAATCATGCAATAAAAAATATTAAGTTTATTCACGTTTTAAAAAAAAACTTATTTGAAAAATATATTTTTGAATTCGAAAAAAAAAACAAAGTAAAGTACTCTTTCAAACCTGATGGTCGATTGGGGCAGGTGCAGTAAAGTTTATCTGTGACCTGGGCACATGTAAGGAAAGCGTGCCCGACCACTTTTGCGCTACCAAACGTGGTGAGTAGTGGTACCTATCAGAGCTCAATGGAGTCAGCTATCCATTAGAACTGGTTCTACTCAAGGATGTCCTACTGATTCGAACCTGGGATTCGAACCCGAGACGTTCGGGCAAGGAGCCATATGCACCGTTCCTCTTACAATTACTCACCTTGAATAGGTTACACTTTGTGGTTTAAATTATGAATTTCAATGTATCACTTTTCTTTTTACTGATTCCTAAGATAAAACTAGATCTATTTAGCGCTTTCGTTGTTTTGTTTTCCTTTTTTAAAATGACAAACTGAATCAATTTCGGTTACTATGGTTACCTACCTACAACTCCGACAACTCACTTTGCACTCATCTCCATGTCTCGTCATCTGTGCAGCTCACTCGACACACACCTGCCGAGCTCACCTCACACACACCTGTGCGGCTCACCTCACACACACACACACCTGTGCGGCTCACCTCTCACACACACACACACCTGTGCGGCTCACCTCTCACACACACACACCTGTGCGGCTCATCTCACACACACACACACCTGTGCGGCTCATCTCACAAACACACACCTGTGCGGCTCATCTCACACACACACACACCTGTGCGGCTCACCTCACACACACTCACACCTGTGCGGCTCACCTCACACACACACACCTGTACGGCTCACCTCACACACACACACCTGTGCGGCTCACCTCACACACACACACACCTGTGCGGCTCACCTCACACACACACACACACACCTGTGCGGCTCACCTCACACACACACACCTGTGCGGCTCACCTCACACACACACACCTTTGCGGCTCACCTCACACACACACTCCTGTGCGGCTCACCTCACACACACACCTGTGCGGCTCACCTCACACACACACACACACCTGTGCGGCTCACCTGACACACCTGTGCGGCTTACCTCACACACACACCCACCTTTTCGGCTCATCTCACACACACCTGTGAGGCTCACCTGACACACACCTGCCGCGCTCACCTCGACTTCACACCTGGACTACTCACCCACACCACTCCCTCATATCGCATGCGTGTACCAGGCTGTGAGTCGCTCATTAAAATTTCATGTCGTCTAGTGCACAATGTGCGTGTGTGCCTGTACATATATATATAAATATATATATATATATATATATATATATATATATATATATATATATATATATATATATATATATATATATATATATATATATATATATAAAAATAAGTAAATATATATATATATATATATATATATATATATATATATAAATAAATAAATAAATATATATATATATATATATATATATATATATATATATATATATATATATATATATATATATATATATATATATATATATATATATGTATGTATGTGCGTATGTATGTGTGTGTGTATGTGTGTGTGTGTCAATATACATATATAAATATGAATATGTATAATATATATAAAGTAAAACATTACTTTTTTACCTATAACACATTGAAAAAAGCATTAATACAAATAATAGAAATAATAAAACAATACGCTTCAGTTGTTTGGTGAAAGGGAAATAACAAAGGTTAAGACATATTTTTTTTTAATTTCCTATTTGCTTAATCATCCAAAGAACGCCGAGTAGTATTGTGTGCAAAAATTAAAATAGCTTTTTTTTGTAATCCATACCATACATTTAGTGCTTCTAGCTTTTGAGTAGGAAAGTGCAAACTGAAAGTAAAACCCAAAAAAAAAATTATTGGAGAAAAGATTTCAAATTAGCCAATATTTATGATGATTAGGAATATGGCTCCGTGCGAATAGCGATGGAAAATATTGACAGGGCGAAAACAGGCAAAGACGCTTTAGTAATAAGTAATTCAAGAGGGGTTGCTTCCCGTCGTAGCCGATCAAATAACCGCAGTTATTTCCCTTCAGTCCACTTTCATCAAACCAAACTAACATTGTCAGACGGATGTTTGTTCAAATAACAATAAAATTATTTCTAGGAATGCAGACTCATTGTCCGCTTTGTCCATTCGTAGAACAGGAGATCATATATACCTGTATAAACTCATACACATACATATATATATATATATATATATATATATATATATATATATATATATATATATATATATATATATATATATATTGTTAACCTGAAGATATCCTTTATTATTTAATAATATTTTGGGTATATTTGTTATAACGCTGACAAAAATACATAATAATGTTCATTCGCAGATAAATGAAATCATAATCTATATTTCTTTATCTATGACTATATTTATATTTATACCTTTAACTATACCTGCACCTACACCTACACCTACACCTACACCTACACCTACACCTACACCTACACCTACACCTACACCTACACCTACACCTACACCTACACCTACACCTACACCTACACCTACACCTACACCTACACCTACACCTACACCTACACCTACACCTACACCTACACCTACACCTACACCTACACCTACACCTACACCTACACCTACACCTACACCTACACCTACACCTACACCTACACCTACACCTACACCTACACCTACACCTACACCTACACCTACACCTACACCTACACCTACACCTTCACCTACACCTACTCCTACACCTACACCTGTATAATATGTATATATATATATATATATATATATATATATATATATATAATGTATCAAAAAGAATTTTTTTTATCCTGTGTTTTCTAATGTTGTACTTCTGTATTCCCCAGGCAACCCTTGTCCGGCCGGGAAACCCTTCATGTGCCGGTCTTCACCCACCTGTATAGCACTGAAATTTGTCTGTGATAAAAACTATGATTGTGAGGACGGATTTGATGAAGACCCAGCTGTCTGTTTCGCCTGTAAGTATAGGGTGTGGGGGTGGGGGATTGATGCGTGGGGGGATGGGGGTGTGGGTGGATTGATGCGTGGGTGGGTGGGTGGGTGGATTGATGTGTGGGTGGGTGGGTGGATTAATGCGTGGGTGGGCTGGTGGATTGATAGATGCATGAGTGAATGGATGTGTGGGTGGATTGGTGCATGGATGGGTGGGTGGGTGGATTGATAGATGCATGAGTGAATGGATGCGTGGGTGGATTGATAGATGCGTGGGTGGGTGGATTGATGTGTGGGTGGACAGATAGATGCGTGGGTGGGTGTGTACTTGGTTGGATAGGTACGTAAGTGGATTGATGGATGTGTGTTTGTGTGTTGGTGGATGGCTATTTGGTGGGTGGGTAGATGTATAGATGGATGAGCAGATGATTGGATTGGTGGGCTTGTGTTTTATGGTGGGTGGGTGTTGGAGAGGTTGGGGTGGGGGCTTATTGCTGTATAGCGTTATGGTGGGTGGGTGTTTGCGTGGCTGGGGGGATTATTGTTGTATAGGTGGTTGTGTAGGTGTTATGGTGGGTGGATGTTTGAGTTGGTGGTGAATGTTTGGGTGGGTCGGTGGCTGAGTAGTTGGGTTGACGTATGGGTGGATGCGTATGTGGGTGGTAGTGTTGATGGTTGGCTGGATGTACTGGTGTATGGATCTCTATTTTTATGGATTATTGGTTAGATGAGCTCATGGATACGTAGACGGATATACCCATATCATTAAAGACTAACACCACAGCAATCTATTGAATGCCAAGTGAGTGACATCTAACATACCTCAACACACACCATCCCTTAAAACCTAAACTAAATTTAGAACAAACCACGAACATGCAACACTAAACTTTGACACAAGTCAAACCTCTCTACTGCACTTTTATCTGGCGGTTGCTATGTACGGCGAGTAAACAAAACAAGCCGTTGTCAAGGTGTGCCGGCCATTTTTTTTTTGTATGTCATGAATGAAGTCATGCCAGACAAGTGCACTGTCATGCACGGTGCTGTCCCTTGACGCACCCATAAACCACGGGCCCGCCTACATCATCCAACTTCGGAGTCAGAAGTAATTTGATGCAAGCCTTACACGTGAAACAAGAGTTATGGGGATTTCATTTTAATTATTACCTTAAATTGTATAGAGTTAAGGAGATTATATTTTAATTATTATCTTAAGTTATAAAGAGTTATGCGGATTGTAGTTTAGTTATAACTTTTAACTGTCAACAGCTATGGAGATTTTATTTTAATTATTAATTTAAAACTGAAAAGTTATAGGGATTGTAGTTCGAAAATTACCAAAAATTATAAACAGTTATGGGGATTCCATTTTAATTATGACTTTAAATTGTGAAGTATTTTTCGGATTGTAGTATAATTTTAGCTTTAACCGGTAGATTTTATGGGGATTGTATTTTAACGATTACCTTTCAAGAGTTAAATGGGTTTGTATTGTTATTATTACGGTAAAATGTGAAGAGTTATGTGAATAGTATGAGTTACGGTATTTTTTTTCTCATTGGAAAAATCTAAACGTTTCATTCCTTTTATTTATAATCTTTTCTTTGGGTGGCGAAGGGGGGGGGGGGGTTAACTTTTTGGCGGGGCTTGTCAAGATTTATTTAGGCAATATGAAGTCGAGGTTTGAAGATGTTCATGGCAAAGCCATGAGCGTTTATAAACTATTAGATCGGGCGCAGTGGCTATATAAAAACACTTGAAATCAATCTGCTTTGATCACGCACAATAATGGGTGTTGATTGTAGATTTTTTTTAAAAGCATGAGCAAAACATGTTTTCGTCATGAGCAATGTGTCGATTTCTATTTTTTCATCATGCGCAGTGTGTCAATTTGTATGTTTCCTTCATGCGCAGTGTGTCAATTTCTATGTTGCCGTCTTGCGCAGTGTGTCAATGTGTATGTTTCCGTCATGCGCAGTGTGTCAATTTGTATGTTTCCGTCATGCGCAGTGTGTCAATTTGTATGTTTCCTTCATGCGCAGTGTGTCAATTTGTATGTTTCCGTCATGCGCAGTTTGTCAATTTCTATGTTGCCGTCTTGCGCAGTGTGTCAATGTGTATGTTTCCGTCATGCGCAGTGTGTCAATTTCTATGTTTCCGTCATGCGCAGTGTGTCAATTTGTATGTTTCCGTCATGCGCAGTATATCAAATTCTATGTTTCCGTCATGCGCAGTGTGTCAGTTTTCTATGTTTCCGTCATGTGCAGTATATCAAATTCAATGTTTCCGTCATGCGCAGTGTGTCAAATTTTATGTTTCCGTCATGCGCAGTGTGTCAAATTTTATGTTTCCGTCATGCGCAGTGTGTCAATTGTATGTTTCCTTCATGCGCAGTGTGTCAATTTCTGTTTCCGTCATGCGCAGTATATAAAATTCTATGTTTCCGTCATGCGCAGTATATCAAATTCTATGTTTCCGTCATGCGCAGTGTATCAAATTCTATGCTTCCGTCATGCGCAGTGTGTCGAATTCTATGTTTCCGTCATGCGCAGTGTGTCGAATTCTATGTTTCCGTCATGCGCAGTGTGTCAAATTCTATGTTTCCGTCATGCTCAGTGTGTCAAATTTTATGTTTCCGTCATGCGCAGTGTGTCGAATTTTCCTCTTGCTCTACAGCCTTCCGACCCGACACAGACAGTATATTCAACTTAATCGACCACGAGAAGAAATGGATGCTGCCCAAACTCTTCAACGGAGCCGCCCCTTTCCAGGTCGCTCATGCTCTAACAGGTAACCCTTCCACCCCCTGCTCGTATGGTATTTTTATACGGGTGTCCGACAATGGACTCTTCCAAAGATAAAAAAAAAATGGGTGCTTGATTGTTAGTTAATAGTAGACTAGTTAATATCATTGAAATACAAAATGTCAGTTCTAGCTAGCAGGCATACATCGGGCTAGAGGGGAGCGCTGCCTTCGACACCCTCCCCCCCCCCCCCCCGGGACGATATAGTATATATTATATATATATATATATATATATATATATATATATATATATATATATATATATATATATATATATATATATATATATATATATATATATATATATATATATATTTCATAATTCATAAAAGTAAAATATACTTTAACCACCCTTGCCCCTCCCCCAAACCAGAAAATTTAAGTTCATCCAACCCCCCCCCCCCCCCAACCTCAAAGTTGTATTTACTTACATGTAAGCGGTGAACCTAAGGTGCAGGAATTTGAAAATGAATGTAAAATTAAGCAACGAATTATCTCCCATTTGAAAATTTCAAATTACACAATTTTATTCAAGGGAAATAACTTTCACCAGAATAGCAAAATCAACCATGTGTAGCTAAGACATGTGTGAAAAACACAATAAAACGCTCTAAATTTCATTACGTAATAATTATAATATATCTTTTATATTAGCTATGCATCATTGTGAAAATAATATATTTTACTTATTGAATACTTAACTGTAGGTTTGTTTGAAAGTCTAAAAACGGTAGCAATATTATAACATACTTCAATTCAATTTTAATGACATACATGTTATATTGTGTGATGAAGTGTTAGAATACTTTAAATTTTGGATCCCTTAATAAAGGGACGTCTTTCAAAACATCAAACACTGGTAACTGTTTTAGACATTGCTAGAATTATCGATTCAAATATAAAAAAATTATAATTTGAAAAAAAAAGCTTACGGTGAGTTATAAATTCCACCCTATTTAATATATATACTAATACTTTAAGAGTGGTAATATAGATTCCTAAAAAACTAAATATTTTTCAACTAGAGAACGCCTAACTTTCTAGTAACACTAGTGTGTTACGTACTGAATTGAAATCAGAGTTTCTTCAAGGCATTAAGTCTACTGCCCTCCCGAATGAAATAAAATTTATATAGAAAATATATACTTTTAACGGTGTCCGCCCCCCCCCCCGAAAATTTTAAGCACCCCCTCCCCCCCCCCCCCCCCGGAGAAAGAAGCCTGGAACAAACACTGATTGAAATCATCCAACTTACGATAAACTCGACTACTCGATATACTCTATTACATTCACAACACATATCAAACTTCGATTCCTAAACATAACTAGACTCGATGCTCCAGAACTACGAAACCAACGTGTTTAACTTCACCAAGCTCTACAACCAGTACTCCCAATCAACAACTACTTCACTGGACCTACTACTACACTTTAACAGTCATTATAATTCGATACCTTAATACCACAAGAATCGATACTCCCAAACTCCAGAACGATACTTCATCACCTGCATTCTCATTTCTCTACTACCAATCAGATTCCACTAGACCTTCAACTACAAAATAGCCGAATAAAAAATTATGACACTTTAACACCTCGATACTTTATACCTACGAACCATATCAGCAACAGCCTTCCCCCGCTACTCCCAAATCTAAACGTTTCATCAAAACTTACCAAACAAGAAACAACACTTTGAACACCCCGTCATTACTAAACTATACACCAGGACAGATTTCTAATTTAAAGTCAGAGAAAACGAGATTTTCAACCTCGCGAATAAATATAGGCCTATATAGACCTAATTTTGGTGTGGGGTGCAAAATTGATAGTTCGTCCTGGGTGCCGAAATAGATCGCTACTCCTTTATAAAAGTTATCAATTATTAGGTACTTTTTGATTAATAGCGATTAAACCTTTTGCGCCCCTCTAGGGATGGCGCCAGTGTTTCTTCCAGACTTTTTTCTCCGGGGGTGCACTTGAAATTTTCGGGGGGGGGGGGGGGGGCGGACAACAATTTCCGGGAGGGGGGCGGATACTGTCAAAGTTTATATTTCCTATATAAATTCCATTTCGTTCGGGGTGGGGCTGTAGACTTTTTCGGGGGTGGGGGGGACGATGCCCCCCCCCCCCGAGAGATGCCTGGAAGAAACTCTGGATGGCGCCCTAGGCGACCGCCTAGTTCGCTATAATAGGTAGCGCCGGTCCTGGGAGGTAGCACATTGCAAGTAGTAAACTATAATAAAGCTACTTATTTGTTTCCAAAATTTGATCTACTATGTTTACGCTAGCAATAGCAAGATGGATAAAGAATAGCGCAGTGGCGTAGCCGAGGTCGGGTGTCACCTGGTGCGGCACTTAATGGTGTCACCCCCCCCCCCCCAGAGGCGTAGCGACCCCTTCCCGGGGACCAAATTCGATTTTGCACCCCCCCCCCCCCTCTCAAACTTCTATTTGCACCCCCCTCAAGTTTTCGATTTGCACCCCCACCCTCTCAAACTTTTCGATTTGCACCCCCCCCTCCCTCAAGTTTTTCTCTATATATTTTGCTATTTTTTTTGCCTTGGTGTCACCCCCCCAAATAGTGTCACCCCGGTGCGGTCCGCACCCCCCCCCCCTCGCTACGCCTCTGGAATAGCGTACGTCAGAAGAAAGGCTCCACAATATTGAACAATTTAACCAAAAGTTGTTTTCTTCTTCTATCTTTGCCAGTCACTAAAGATCGAAAAGTCTGATCTGTTTTTTTGCTTTTTTTTTTCTTGTCTGATCAGACAAACACACCCAGCATGCTGCGCGCGTGTTATCTCGTGCGCGCATGTTGCCCACCGTATCACGTCATACATACATCATTTCCGGTTCCGGGGGCGTGATCCCATCAGGGGAGATCCAGCGTGTATTTTCAGCTCGAGTTTCCCTCCCCTTGTCACTTCCAAAGTCCGAACCCTGATGGCCGCTAAGTCTGCGACACGTCTAGACAGGGGACCCTCATTTCAGCCACACGCTGAGTTGTTACAAAACTATAAATATTTCCATTTCCTGTTCACTTTCTCTGAGAATTTATTTACCGAAAGGAAGCTTTTTTTTTAAAGCCGTAAAAAAAAAATGGCTTCAAGAAAAAAGTTATAGAAAACCTGATTTAATTTTACGTACATGCGCCATGAAAGAGGGGGGGGGGGGGGGGCGTTGCTTTTTTTATATCATTCATATATATTCTCATAATTGTTTTTAATTTTCTCATAGTAAACCTTTCATTGTTCCTATTGTTTTATTTAACTGATTTGCTTCCCCTTGTTATTTCATATAATTATTTCCCCTTGTTTAATGCCAATTTTTTTTTCTCCTTATTCAAATTCATTAAATTGCTTCCTTGTCATTTCCCTTACTGTTTAATCTGTTATATTCCCTTTAACGTTTCCTATTGTTCAATTCCCATTATTTGGTATCATTTTCCCTTTATTAAAATCCCTTCATTGCTTTCGGTTGTTGTATTAACTTTATAATTTTACCTTATTATATTCCCTGCTTTAACTTCCCCTAATTCAGTGGTTCTTAACCTTTTTTTTGGAGGTACCTAACCCCAACAGTTTCATATGCGCATTCACCCTATAGTTTTAGTTCAATCGTCGGGACTGACAAAACCAATAGTGAATCATATTGAGTGTAAGTCGGGCATGTCTTGATCTCCGCCGAACCCCTTGGACTGACTATCGAACCCCCCGGGTTCAATGGAACCCAGGTTAAAAATCACTTCCCGAATTATTATTTTCAACCTTTCTACTTATTATATCCTTATCATTATATTATTTTAATTTTTCCCGCTTTTAACTCAACGGTTCATACATCCTCTTACGTCATACAATACCCCCCCCCCCCCGTATCTGTCAACAGAGGCCGCTGACATGGAGGAGTTACGCCTTACCCTGGGGTTAACGGACGAAAACGTCCAGAACCTTCGCACGGCCTTCACCTGTGCTATGGAGGGCGACGAGAGACCGCTGTTGGCGATGGGCATGGGCGACAGGCAATGGCACGAGGTAGGTCTGGGGGTGGGGGGGGGGGTACAGGGGCATGAGGTAGGTCTGGGGGTGGGGGGGGGGGGGTACAGGGGCATGAGGTAGGTCTGGGGGTGGGGGGGTACAGGGGCATGAGGTAGGTCTGGGGTGGGGGGTACAGGGGCATGAGGTAGGTCTGGGGGTGGGGGGGGGTACAGGGGCATGAGGTAGGTCTGGGGTGGGGGGGGGGGGGGGGGGGACAGGCAATGGCACGAGGTAGGGTCTGGGGGGTGGGGGGGAACAGGGGCATGAGGTAGGTCTGGGGTGGGGGGGGGGGGGGGGGGGGGGGGGGCAGGCAATGGCACGAGGTAGGTAGAGGGTGGGGGGACAGGCAATGGCACGAGGTAGGTCTGGGGTGGGGCGACAGGCAATGACACTGTAGGTCTGGGGTGGGGGGGGGGGGGGGTAACAGTGACATGAGGTAGGTAGGGGGTGGGGGGAACAGGCAATGGCACGAAGTAGGTAGGGGGGTGGGGGGACAGGCAATGGCACGAGGTAGGTCTGGGGAACGGGCGAATGATGTTTCTCTTAATAATTACTATATTGCTGTTTCTCTTACCAATTTCCAAATTGCTGTTTCTCTTACCATTTTATGAAATGTGATAATTCTCCTCCCCAATGACTAAAAATGCTGTTTTCTCCTCCCAATGACTAAAATGCTGTTTCTCTCCTAACTAAAATGCTGTTTCTCTCCCCCCCCCCCCTTAGGTTCAGCACCTGTTCGAACAGCTTTTAAACAGCGGCTTCAAGCCCTAGACGACAACCCAGAAGTCCTGGGATCATCAGGTCAAGGGCTGCTTGAAGATCGACCAAAAGGGACCAATCAGAAGAAAGCCAAACCCCCGAACAATTCACTAGAACTTTCCATACAAATCCCGTGGACTATTCATTTATTTGCAAAATTAAATCCAAAAATTTTCGTTTTCATATTTTTTTTAAAGCGATCAGTGATATTTTTTGTTTTCAAAAATAAAATTTAATTAAAAAAACATTTATTTTTTTGAAATTGTGATATATGTTAGTTTTTAAAAAAAAATTGATGTGTGTTGTTAATTTTTTTGAAAATATCAGAACATGGCCGAATATGGTTCTCTCAGCCCACCCCCAAACTTTCAAAGTACTGTGACCAATGTATGTGTGTGGTTAGCCATTTTTTTTCTCTTTGTCTTGGTGACCTCCGACCTCATAGATACACGTGTTTCGCAGACAATGCAGGGCGCTGCCATGATGTGGGAATAAATATTCTTTAAAAAACTGTTCCCGTGTTGATTAATCTGAAACAAAAAAATTAAATATATAATGTTTGAGCTGTGTTTATAATATACTACAAAAGAAAAATTCTTGCAATTTTTTTTTAATTTAATAGAATTAAATAATGCAAATTATATACAATACGTTTTTTTTTTCAAAATATTCGTTTCGGTTGAGTTTGTGTTTTTTTACTTACTTTACACTGAACATTGTTGTGTTTAAATCGGGTGGAGGGGTAGTCCTTAATAGTTCATACATAGGTCAGTAAGTTCGCAGGTTTTTGTGACACGTTTCTACACACTATGGTTGGCTAGTTATGTTCGTATTATTCTTGACAAGGTTTTGATGACTTAATTTCATGCTCGCAATCGTGTTAATATTCGCTACAACTTTCTAAAGATCTATAATTTGGGGGGGGGGGGGGGGCTTGCTATGGGTCGTAAGATTTGTGACAAGATTCTGAAGAATTATTATGCGACTAGGAAGGGTCATAATATTTGTGAGAGGTTTCTGAAGAATTATTATGCGGCTTGCAACTGCAGTGTTATTCGCGATAAGTTTTTGTAAAGATAGCAAGCAAGTTCAAATAAATATGTTGCAATTGCGTTTTTAAAAAAAAGGTTTTTTGTATTCAAGCTCTTGCCGTTTATATTCAACAGAAAGAAGAACCTATGTCTTCAAAACTTGGTCTTTCGGCAATGTTGCCTAATTAAATCGGACCAAATATTTACTTGGAATAGCTGCAAGAATTTCCTGCTAGAATGGAGATACATCTAACTATTTCTTAAGGCAGTCTAAATGACGAAAATATGTTGATAGATAGTCTTAAGAAAAGTTGGATACTTGCGATAGATAAGATTCTTAAAAACGCGTGATTTATTTTTGAAAGTGACAACAATTCGTCACCCCCCCCCCTCCCCCCAACCCCCACCCTCCTCCACCTTCTTCCTGATTTAAACACAGACAAAAAACTTCTTTGATTTATAATATTCCAAATCATTTAAAACTTTCAAACAAAAAATAAAAACTTTATGGTTGGATTTGCATTTGAAAATAAAAATAAAAAAAAACAAGATTTTTTTTGTTTGGTTCTAGTTGGTCTACGCAATAACCTGTTTCTTCGATGTCCTTAGAAATCATTCGTTGTATTGGATTCATCCAAGGCTGTCCTGTCCTGGTTTCAAATAACAAAGTAAAGGCATATATTTCTCCTACTTGCACCGTGTTGTTGCATCAATGTTTTTGTCTAGTAGCTTTGTAGTCTGGTTTATAGTTCGTGTTGTTGTTGTTGTTTTTTTTACATGAGGTGGCGGGGAATTCATATCCGATCAGATAGTACCATAATAATGAGATGTTCTGAAAAAAGGGGTGGTAGACAGTGTTTCTTCTCGGAGGGGTGGGGGGGGGGAACACTGGTAAAAGTAGATATTTTCTATATAAATTCAATTTCGCTCGGGGGAGGGGCGGTATACGTTCTTACCATCCCCCCCCTCCCCCCCCCCACCCAAGAGATGCCTGGAAAAAACTGGTGTAGGCTACTGGTTGTAAATTATGGACAAATATTATGTGGTAGCGTTAATCCTATGCCCACGACAAATCAAGTTCTACCCTAGCCATAATCCTAACTCTGAACATAAATATTACACACTACAAGCAATCCAACAACATAACTCGTCAAATTATAGAAGAGTCAAGGCGGTTTTTGGAGTCAGCAATCATACGCTCCCCCACTCCCATCTTCCACCCTCACCAAAAGTCCCAAGTTCGTACCCAGGGTAGATGATGAGGCCCTTTAGTTATGGACAGCAACCCATCGGGTGAGAAAACTCCTAAACAAAAGAAACACCGGCTAGCAGATTGTCTTTGGGTGAACAAAGGCTATGGAAGCTAATCCAGATAGATAAGCAGTCTGAAGTCGGAGTTAACGGTGAATATAGCTCTTAGCATGTTGACCAATAATACTTAAATGTGCTGGAGGAAATCACCTCTATTATTAAAGAAGAAGAAAGCAAGACAACAACAAAAGACAATAGACTTTATGGTTTAGACCTTAGGCTATGGTTAGCGGTAGTTTTAAATAGAAGTACTGGAGGTCTGGTTTTGTTAATTAAGAATTGAGTTAAAATATAAGTAAACTAAAATGTCTGCCCTGGGTGACGAATGGTCGGGGGTTAGCACCGTATAAGTAAACTAAAATGTTTGTCCTGAATGGTCGGTGGTTAGCACCGTGACCGCTGACCTGGATTGAACCAAATTACATCTAACATCTACTGGTTTCCTTTAGGCATTTCCTGCGTCACGACTGATGCCATGTTGTATAGGTAATTACTCTCTCTATGATCCATACTTTTTTTATTTTTTCTATATTTTTTTATATTAAGTTAGGTGAGAGTTCCCAGTCTATGTCTTAGGCCAAAAATTATAAATTACAGACCTATATCTTTACTCAACAGTGATTATAAAATATTGACAAAAACTTTAGTTAAGAAACTCGAACCTTTCATACCAAAAGTAATACACCCCGATTCAGCAGTACAGCATGCCAGGTAGAAACATACACACCCACACGCACTTAATCAGAGACATCATACATTTTAGCACGCAGAAAGACACAACTAGCAATTCTTAGCATCGACCAACAGAAATCTTTAGATATAGTAGATCATACATGGTTAATGAAAACAATAGATGCTTACAACCTAGGACACTATTTTAAAACATGGATAAAAATAATATACAACAATGCACACAGTTATTTATTAATAAACAACAGTGTTACAAGCGCTTTTCACATACAAAAATCAGTTAGACAAGGTTGTCCTTTATCTCCCCTACTATACATCCTTAGCCTAGAACCCCTACTAGAAAACATTAGACAGGACAACTCGATTAAAGGACTGTACATTACAAACACGGTAGGCAAGAAAATACTTGCATACGCAGACGACGCTACTTTCTTAGTACAAGCAGAAAAAGCAATACAGAATTCTATAGAAAAATTCAAAACAAATTAAATGAAGGTATAGGGCTACATGACATTGATACTAAAATAAACACCTTCCGATTAAAACATCTGGATAGAATAAGGATAGAACCACATTATCATCCATTAGCACAATACTAAATAGGGTTAAACATAAAGAGCATTCTAAAATTAAACATCACAACACCACACTATGGGGGAAAGGACATAGGCAGCTTTTATAAAGAAACGCTAGCAACATTCCAAGGAAACAAAAGCATTTTTGGGGAAGACACAAAAATATATACGACATCCAAATCAAACAACAAGCGACACCCTTATACACCAGAATTAGTTGGGCCAGGGAACACAATATAATAGTCATTAAAGATAAATTTAGAAGCCTACATAATAAACGCATTACACCAAAAGAAATGGAAGTAGATTAGAGCAGTGGCGTAGCCAGGATCGTCTCAAGGGGGGGTCCAATTTTTACCCGGGGACAAACTTTCGATTTGCACCCCCCCCCCTTCAAACTTTCGATTTGCACCCCCCCCCCCCCTCAAACTTTAGATTTGCACCCCCCCCCTCATACTTTTTATATATACCGAGGGGTCTATGGGGGGAGTTATGACCCCCCTAACTCCCCCGCTGCCTACGCCACTGGATTAGAGACTGATTTTTAATACAACACCAATTTACGAAATACAAAGTCAAATCAAAATGTTAAAATAACATGTCAAACGTGTAAACAAAATATACAAGAAACTGAGAAACACATTTATTTTGACTGTATATTGGTACAAAAAGCAAAGCAAAAACTTTCGAAAATATTAAAAAATCACCAATCCAACAGCCACATAAAATAAAGCAATCACACTTAATTGTAGACAAAGAACAGAAGACGAAAACAGACTAGTAGCAACGGCCATTTAAAGAACCAACTCTATGGGAATATAGAAATAAGATCAAGGTTTATTTTTAAAAATGCTCTACAGCGATTTAAAAAAAAATTTAAGCAAAGCCCATTCTTTTTTTTTTAAATAGTGACTTTTATATTTGCAAACGTAGTAAAGGATATACTTATATATAATCAAAGCCTATGTACAGATATATAGACCAATATATACACAATATAAAACAGTACAAGACATCATCATAACATCAAAAAGATGAAGACCAATAGACGTAGAGCTATCACCCTGGGCAGCCTGTCATGTTTTGTTATTATTGGTGGTAAGTTGCAGGCAATTTTTTTACTGTTGGTGGTAAGTTGCAGGCAATATTTTTACTGTTGGTGGTAAGCTGCAGGCAATATTTTTACTCTTGGTGGTAAGTTGCAGGCAATATTTTTACTGTTGGTGGTAAGCTGCAGGCAATATTTTTACTCTTGGTGGTAAGTTGCAGGCAATATTTTTACTGTTGGTGGTAAGTTGCACACAATTATCCAGTTAAGTATACAAGTTTAAAATTAGCGATAAATGAAATATTCAGTCTATATATTTAAGAAAACTAATACACTGAGGCAAAGTGAATTTAACTACGCATACTTCTACTTTTTAAAACAAAATTGAGTTTTTGTACTACACAAAATTATAATTTCAACTACTTAAACATGTTTATAAAATATAACAGAAATTAAAAAGCAACAAATCGTTTTATTTACGTTCAAATATTTTATTCACCAAGTACCAAAGTGATCGGCAATAATATAATGGATTACTTCCCTTTCGTCAGTAAATGGCTACGTCACACCAGCTGGAGAGCAAGAAACTTTGAAGAATAACTTTTTTTATTTCATTAATAAATGTCTATAGATTTTTTTAAAATTTATCTGATTTTAATACTTCTAAATGTAAACTACAACCGAAATATAATCATAAAAATGTTTATAGATTTTGTTAATTTCAGTTTTTTTTTTTGTTTTTTTTTTTTTAATACTTCTAAATGTCAACTACAACATAGATATCATCATAAATGCTTATAGATTTAGTTAATTTCAGGGTTTTTTAAATTTGAATTTATTACTTCAAAATGTAAACTA